CCAACAAAGTTGAAATCAGCAGAGACGTCATTGTGAAAGAGTCAGAAACATGGGATTGGAACAAGCTTCAATCAGATTCTGGTGTAGTGCCAACACCAGGGTTAGTTTCTGAAAGTTCTGAAGACGAGTCAGAGTCAGAAGATGAAGACTCTGAAGATGAGTCAGAATCTCAGAGAGATTCTGATAGTGGATCTGATTCTGATCCAGATTCTGATGATGATCCATAATATGGTGGTGATTATACTTCTGGAAGGGAAAACTCTGAAGACATGGGGTCTGGAGAACAAGTTTCCAGAAGTAACTCTGAAGGTGGTAATTCTGAAGGAAATAATTCTGGACAAAGTCCAGAAGCCAGCACAGTTCCAAGTTCTAGAGAAGCTTCAGAACAAGATCAGAGGCCACAGAGAATCAGACGAATACCAAATAGGTTTGCAGATTTTAGCATGTTGCATGATACTGAAGTAGATTCTGAAGGAGAAATCGTTCAGTGTGCCATGCTAGTAGATTCTGAACCAGTGGGTATTGAAGAAGCACTCAAGAAGAAAGTATGGCTGAATGCCATGAAAGAAGAACTTGAGGCTATTGAAAGAAACAAGACTTGGAAGCTGACAGAACTTCCAAAAGGCAAGAAAGCCATCAGCGTCAGATGGGTTTTCAAGCATAAGCTAAAGCCAGATGGATCAATTGGCAAACACAAAGCGAGACTAGTGGCCAGAGGTTTTCTTCAGAAACCTGGACTAGATTACTTTGAGGTGTTTGCGCCTGTAGCTAGACACGAAACAATCAGACTAGTTATTGCTTTAGCTGCAAACAGAAATTAGCCTTTGATACATCTGGATGTGAAGTCTGCATTTCTGAACGGTCCATTACAGGAAGAAGTTTATGTGTCACAACCTCCTGGATTTGTGAAAAAGAATCAGGAAGGGATGGTATACAGGTTAAATAAAGCTCTGTATGGACTGAAGCAAGCGCCCAGAGCTTGGAATTTGAAGATTGATTCGTTTTTCAAGGAACAAGGGTTTCAGAAGTGTGAGATGGAGTATGGTGTTTGTGTTCAGCATACTTCAGAAGGTAATATGATTCTGGTCTGTTTGTATGTTGATGACATATTACTCACAGGAAGTTCTGAACAAGAAACAGTTGAGTTCAAGAAAGTTCTGATGAATGCGTTTGAGATGACAGATCTTGGAAAAATGAGTTTCTTTCTAGGGATGGAATTTATATACTCTGAGAAAGGAATCATCTTACATCAGAAGAAGTATGAACTGGAGCTTCTGAAGATATTTGAGCTAGCAAATTGCAAGGTTGCTATCACACCTGCTGATACGAATCAGAAGTTGGACTCTGATTCTGATGGAAAGGATGTGGATGCTACAACCTTCAAACAGATGGTTGGTTCTCTGAGGTATTTGTGTAATACCAGACCTAATATTTGTTATGCAGTTGGAATGGTCAGCAGATACATGAGCAAACCAAAGTGGTCTCATTACCAAGCTGCTGTCAGGATTCTGAGGTATATAAAAGGAACTCTGAAATATGGAGTGTTATTTCCTTCTGGAGGAAAGATCAAATCAGAACTTCTGAGTTATTCTGATTCTGATTGGTGTGGAGATAGAGTTGACAGAAGAAGTACTTCTGAGTACTTGTTCAAGTTTCTGGGAGGTCTAATTTCTTGGAGTTCCAAGAAACAGCCTGTTGTGGCTTTGTCAACATGTGAAGCTGAATACGTTGCAGGTGTTGTAGCTGCTTGTCAAGCAGTTTGGCTTCTGAATCTGCTGCATGATCTGAAGGTTGAAGTTGAGGAACCTCTGAAGCTGATGATTGATAATAAGTCTACAATTAATCTTGCAAAGAATCCAATGCTACATGGAAGAAGCAAGCACATTGAGACGAAGTATCACTTTCTCAGAAGTCAAGTGCAGAAATGAGTGTTAGAAGTTCTGCACTGTAGCACTCAGAAGCAGCTGGCAGATGTTCTGACAAAGGCGATAAAAACAGACCAATTTCTTCGTTTGAGAGATGAAATTGGTGTTGTTAACTTCTGATAAGTTACTAAATTACGGGATGGTATTAGAGGGTAATTTAGTATTTGTCATTTGTAAATATTTTTGATTAGGGCCTATGTGGCATTCTTATTTGTGTATAAATAGGTGTACTAGGTTTACATTTATAACAATCCAATTCCTTCAATCATTAGTGGCAACTTTTAGCATTTATTCCTTTCTCTCTTCTTCCTCAATTTCATCACCTTGCACTAACATAAGGAAACGGAAGTTGGTGAGGGTGCTGCGGTGTGACGGCGTCGTAGACGATGCTTTCCTCCGAACGGCACCGTGGAGAGTTTCGCGGATGAGAGGTTATGGAGTTGGAGTGATTCGATGTGACAGAGGAATATAAACGGTGGGCTGCGATGTAAGGCAATAGAGGGAAGGAAAAAAAAAGAAAGAAGATATTTGGGTTCAGAGGAAATGAGGGTTTTAGTGATATTTGGGTTTAGATATTTGAGTTTTCACATCGGTTGTTACGAGATCTGATGTAAAAGTCTATGTTTCACATCGGATTCAAATCGATGTGAAATAACAAAATTTCATATTATTAACGAAATTATCACTTTATTATTTTTTTTCATCAAATGATTTTTTACAATGGAGTAAAATCAAGTCCGATGTAAAATTCTTTAAAATAAAATTTTTATTTTATTTACGAAATTGCCACCGCGTTATATTTCACTGAAATTAAATATCTGATATAAAATTTCTAAATCAAATATTTTTCACTTCAGATTGTTATGAAATCTAATGTAAAATTTTTTGACAAATATTTTCCATATCATATATCTTGAAATCTGATGTAAAATCATTTAACCAAATGTCTTATTTTTAGTAGTGACGAAATAAGTTTTGTTTTAATTTATCATTAAACCCTTTATTCGCGGTTGAACAAAACAACCGTAGTGGAAACTTAAGTCTTATAACAACGGTTGAGGTATTCACCATTGTTAAATCATCTACAATTTATTTTTTAAATAATTGAAATAGGTGACACACGCTTAATGTACTCTACAAAATATGATTGTTGAGAATCGAAGCGTGTTACACATTATTTTTTACTATGGTGTTTAAAATCAACTGTCATTAATAAATCCAGCAACTCACTAGACATGAAAATTTTAATCTATTACTACAGTGTATATGAATGTGTCATAAGCATGACGTTGTTATTTGTGCGTTTTGTAGTAGTGAATTATGAGAACTTAAAATCAATCTTACATACATAGTCATATAAACTAAGTTGATAGTTTTCTGGAATTCATATATTGTGTGTCCTTCATAATTATTTACAAATCATACATTTTCTATCTTTACATATTACTCTCGGCCTTATGCATATCTATATCAACCATTTTCCTTTCTATCACAATTTTTTAACCCTCAATATATGCATTACTCATATTCAAACTTTGACATCAATTCATTTTTTTTTTAAAACCATCATACAAAGTATTAAATTTGTCATTGAGAGTAGACATTTCAACAAGCTTTTCTTTCTCCTTCCCTTGATTGTCTTTTGATCGAATAGACGACACAACATAATAGGGGATTGTAGATTGTATTTGTTATTTGTTGGTGTTGACGGATTAGAAGATGATGAGTATGCTCCATAAGTTGAATTCTTTGTTCTTTTTTCATAAAGTTCCAATGAACCTCCAAGCTATTTAGGTTTGTCTTTCTAATTTATATGCATTCTCAAACGTGAATTTTTCATGTTCGTCTTAGTAATAAATAGCATATGTAGTCGAAATGATTTTTCTCTTAGAGCTTCTGCTTTTTTTTATAGTTATGGCGTGTTTGTTGCACCCAAAAATCTTAGTATAAGAATTAATCTTTTGTGTCATCGACCTTTTAGCGTCATCTATTTTCTCTCTTGAAAGTTCTTGCAGTGATACTTGATATAAGCTTCATCAATCCTCTTTAAAAAACTATCTCATATTTTTATCAACCCTAATAATTAAAACTTTTGAGATGTTGATCCATGATTGAATGAGAAATTAGTTCTCCATTGGTTGAAATCTTATTTTTGATGTTTTCACAACTGACGTAGTTCCATCTTCTTCATCAAGGTTAATAATTTTCAAGCCACATAGAATGCAAAAATGTAGTGTTTCAAACTTTTGATCCTTCAATTTCATAATACCATTTAAATCCTATAAATTTAGTTGATTGAGATGAAAATTATTGATATTAATATGAGTAAAGTGACCTACTGATTATCATATAATTTTTTATAATACCATTACTCATATCGGTAATTTTTAAAGTATAAATTATTTTGTGGATGCATAATGGAAACAAGATTTTAAAAATTTGAACTATGATGCATATTTGGATTATTGGATATATTTTTAAAATGGAGAATATTTTATTTATTTGAGATATACAAAGGATTGCTACCATCTTACATAAAAATCGAATCAAGAGTTATGGTTGTTGAGGTTCATTGGACAAATGGTATGTAAAAGAATTTTTTTTTAAAATTAAGGAAAAAATGGTAAAAATAATGTGAATATATATATCAAATTAGTATCTTCAAGAAAAAGTGAAATATCTATCTCTCATTTTATCTTTTATTGTGCTTAAACCTACTTCCAAGTAACATTTTTTTTAAGGAACAAATCACAATTCTTGGTCCTTGTTAACAAAAAATATCATCTTGTAATTTTGTTTCATGTCATAAGAAATCTTAACCTGAAAAGTCAAAAATAGACAAAACTCAAAACAAAACAACACAAAAATAGGATGATTATACAATGTCAATATTGTAAATATGAGAACAAAAAAGGGTAAAAAGAGAACCATGTTAGAACAAGTTATCCCCTAGAATTTGTGATTGTAATTCAAACCACCTATATCATATCATATTGTGATGATAACTTTGGTTTCTTATTATTCAAATTTTCATAAGCATGAACTAAGCTTTAGTTTAAAGTAATAATAATTGTTATGGAAGTTATTTTGCAGCCTCAAGCCTTCAATGTTAGAGTTCAGTTTCTCTACTGTAAGCTATATTTATGACCTTATCTTTTCAGCTTTTAAGCTTTGTTAACGGTTGACAATGCACTATATAGAAAAGCTATTTTGCTTACGATTTAGATTTTGTGATAATTTCAGCTACAAAAAGTTACCATATAACATCACCAGGCCAAATTCAATGTTTTAGTTCTTCTATCCATCAAAGATTGCCTCAAGTTGCAAGTGATTACAGAAGTAAAACAAAGGTGATGATACCGTGTTTTTGCTTTATTTTCTTTTTTGGATGTTTTGAGACAGTGAACTTTTTTAACAGGTTTTTGCGATGAGAAGGAGAAGGTCGAATGAGAGAACAGAAACTTATGTACTGTTAGAACCTGGGAAGGATGAGAGGTTTGTGTCGGAGGAAGAGCTGAAAGAGAGTTTGAAAGAGTGGCTTACGAATTGGCCGGGCAAAGCTCTTCCTCCTGATCTTGCAAGATATGAAACCATTGACGATGCTGTTTCTTTCTTAGCAAAGTCGTTTTGTGAACTTGAAATCGATGGAGAAGTTGGGTCGATTCAATGGTTTGAGGTTCGTTTGGAGTGAATAGAACATGTTGCTTGTAATGTTTACGTTAGTTCCGTTCTATTGTAACTGACACAAACAAACATGTTATTTAGACCCGGTACTGATAAACAGTCAAATTAAGTGCTTATAGCGTAAACACTTCTCATATAAGCGATTATGCATAACAACCAAAACTATGTTATTGGAATTCTTACATAAGTTTCTGTTAAGGAACTATAGAATTGAAAAGTACAAAACTCTTTAACATCAAATGTATAGAAAGAAAAACCTATTAGGGCTCTCTCTATGAGATAATTCTTCATCTTTAATGTAGAACAAAACTCGGTTGAATTTCTCATGTTGAGTTGATTTTCTGGTCAATCATCATTGGAAGTTTGTTTTGAAAGGTAGTTGCATCCGGCAAGCACATCTCTGGAACCTGCAACAGTTGAAGCACACATGAGAGGCTAACATACTAACACAAAACGCCCCGGGAATTGGTCTCTTTGGGTTAATCGGCCACATGAAAAAAAACTAATATACCTTTAGGTGATATTTAGCAGCTCCAATTCCAGGTGGTAACTTTGCAGCAGCCTTTTTATTTCTAGCAAGAAGGCCTTTGGTGACTGGGGACATGATCATATCAGTTGGACTTGTATACCTAACAAAACGAAGAAGAAAAAAAAGTGATTATCTACCGTGAAAGCAATAAAGTCAAAATGATTGAATTGCGTGATAGCAAATTCCGAAAAGCCATAACACCTTTCGGGGTACTTGAATGCTTTTGGGAGTTTAAGATGATCTGGAGTGACAGGTTTACGCAATTCATTAGATGGTTTATGATGATGATGAACGGGAGGTGGTGGTGGTGGTGGTGGTGGTGGAGGAGTTTGAATTGGAACTTCTGGGATGACATTTTCCATTACCACAGTGATTATGTATTCTTCTACTTAGCTTTTGTGTATTTATAAAGTCACTGAGTGATTTAGGAAATGGAATTGCAACGGTCAAATACAACAACTCGACTTCAATTATGGTGTCCGTTAGACAGGATAAACATCATCAATTTTGTTTATTCTCTTTCTCTCTCCTATCATAACAAAAAATTATTTTTTTAATTTATTAAATAATTAATATTTCTTCCGTTTTAAGTTTAATTTTTTTAATACATTTTAAAATGTATGAAATGAATTAGATACAATAATGGTTAAATGTATTAAAAAAAAGTTGAATTTGATTATAATTTGTTTATGGGAAGAATATATGATTTCATATATAAAATTGCCATTCAATGAATTTAAACAAAGTAATTTAATTATGTAAATACTATTTTCAAATAAAGTAGTTTGAATTTTGATCCTTACGATTACTATTTTAATTTGACTTTGTAGTTTTATTTTACTTTTTTAATTTTTAAATAAAGGTAAATTATTTTTAAAAAGTAAAAGGATGAGAACCTAAAATCCATTTCATCAAACACCTAACAAAAATGAAAGTTGGACATTATTCAATCTATTGTCAAAAAATTTCAAACGTTGAAATAAGAAATTAATTTCACTTAGTGTTATTATAATTAATAAAAACAATTATATTGATTAATCTATCTGCATATAAATTTTTCTCTCTTAAAATGTGATATTTCTTAAATATAAAGGAATGTATAGTGTGTAAAATATTCTTCCATTTAATTAAAAGATGGACAATATTCACATTAAAAAATGCATGAATGATCAATATTGAATCAATTTCAAGATAAAAATTTCTCCAATTCATCATATTAACATATTCGATAGCAAGCATGAACTCTTGCAGTTCGACTTAAAAGGAGGTGTAAAATTCAATTTTACCTGAGAATGTTTATGAATTATTCTAAAATATGCCACCACAAGTTGAGATTCCATTATTTTCTCTAGAACTTTCGTCTATGTTACACTTAATTCAATTATGACTAGGAAATCACCAATTAACTTGTATGATTTTAGGTGTTGGAGTAGGTCAAAATTTGATGTCAAAATATTTAATAATTGTAAACTTATGAATTGAAGAGTACACATGTCCCTTGAAGGAAGAAGACTTCATATAGACCAATTGTTTAACATGAAGAATGTCTCTATCAATGTTAATTTTATCATTTTAAAATATTATATCATTTCTTGAGTGTCAAATTTTCTAAAGAGTTATTATAATGAGAGTCATGATCAATGAATTTAAGAGCTTTAACTTTTGTTAGTAAGTTTGAATAAGTTTTCATACAGTTTTTATTAATGTTCATGATAAATAATCACTTAATCCAATGTCAACTGAGAAATAAGTAGTTTTCAGTTCCACATCATGATTGGAGATAGAGCACCTCGAGACCATGTGCATTCCTCTTCAGATCAAATTGTCTTTTATTGCAACAACATTATGCATTAGCTTCTAAGTCAATAATGACTTAACATGTGGTATGTAGGGATGCCAAATAATTTTTTTTCAACAAGGCTCAATGTGATTCCTACTGATACATTCAGAGGCATATTTAAAAGATAGATCACCATTTGCACACCATGTTCAAATGAGTTTATTAACACTTGTACTATTAAACGACAAGTTAATCTTCAAAATGTCTTCGACAATTTGAGGAGTCAAAATGGATAAGTCATGAGGGATGTGTCTAATTTATGTTTTGGATAATTGAATTGACCTTAGCAGTTTGCATAAATTGAATATCCACTGAAAATACTAGATGTAAATGTAATTTTGTATCCCAATCAATTATCGGTCCATAAATCAATTTTTTTCTTACTATCAACCTACCATCTATAATGTTTCTCCGCAAAGGAAAATGAATTATTAATGCCAGGTTATATAGAAAAATAAATATGATGTGTAATTGATTTTTTATGCTTGAAGTATCTACTAATAAGCATAGATGATAATTGATTATTGATTATCAACAACTTCCAACAAAGAGATAAACAACCATATTGTTTATTATCTTAATATCTCTCAGATCAATGCCTCATTCACACAAATATGAGCAAATAACCTTCCAAGATGTAGTAATCAACTTTCTACTATTTATGCTATTTGTCTACACAAAATTTATGATGCAAGATTCTAGTTTGTTAATAAGATTGATTGGTCATTTATAAATCCTAAGACTATACAGATGCATGTTTTATATGACTTACTAGAGAAATTGAACCATACTCATCATAGCAAGAAGGTGGCCCTTTCAAGTAACTAGCTTGGTCAATACTCTATCTGTTATGATCTAAAGATGTTGAGTTCTATGTTTTCCTTTGAATATAAAACTCCAAGATATTTAAATGGTGTATGTCCCATAATGAATTCAAATATACGTCCAATGTTCCTCAGCCTAGATCCTTAAGTACCAATACTATAAAACTTACATTTAGCTGGACTGGTGTATTGACTAGAATTCTGACCATATTCTTGAAGGTTAAACATATAATTATTGTAAATTTGTGAAATGAAGAGTACACATGCCTCTTGAAAGAATTAGATAATATATAGACCAATTGTTTAACATGAAGAATGTCTCTATCAAAGTTAATTTTACCATTTTGAAACCTGATATCGTTTCTTGAGTGTCAAATTTTTCAAAGAGTTGTTATGATGAGAGTCATGATTAGATTATGAATTTAAGAGCTTCAAATTCCACTAGCAAGTTTGAATAAGCTTTCATAACTAGTTTTATCAATGTTCATGATAAACAATCGATCAATCCAATGCCAAAAAAAAGTAAGGTGTGTCTGTATCTAAGAAATAAGTGGTTTGTAGTTTTCAAATCATGTTGTCTTCTGTTGCAACAATATTATGAATTAGCTTTCAAGCCACTAATGACTTAACATGTGGTATGTAGGGATGCAAAATGATTTTTTCCAACAAGACTCAATGTGATTCCTCCTGATATGTTCATGTGCATCTTTAAAATATAGACTACCATTTTCACATTATGTCCAAATGAGTTTATCAACATTAATACTATCAAATAACAAGTTAATCTTCAAAAATATCTTCAAAATTTTAAGGAGTTAAAATGGATAAGTCAAGAGGAATGTGTCCACTTGATGGTTTGGATAATTGAATTGACCTTAGTAGTTTGCATAAAATGAATACCCACTAGAAATACTAGGTGTAAATTTAATTTTGTATTCCAACCAATTATTAGTCCATAAATCAATGTGTTTCCCGTTATCAATCCACCATCTATAATGTTCCTCCAAAAAGGAAAAAAGAATGCTTAATGCCAAGCCATATAGAAAAATAAATATGATGTGTGATTGGTTTTTTGTACCCAAAGTATCTACTAATAAACATACAAGATCACTGATTATTGATTGTCAGCAACTTCCAACAAATAGATAAATATTAATATTTGTTTATTATCTTAATATCTCTCAGATCACTGCCTCATTCATAAAATTTTATCTTCCAAGTAACCTTCCAAGATGTAGTAATCATCTTTCTATAGTTTATGCTACTTGTCTACACAAAATTTATGATGCAAGATTCTAGTTTGTTGAGAAGATTGATTGGCCATTTTATAAATTCTAAGACTATATAGAAGTAAGCCTTGGATGACTCACTAGAGCAATCAAACTATACCAATCATAGAAAGAAGATGACTCTTTCAAGTAGCTAACTTGGTAAATACTCTATTTGCTATTATTTAAAGATGATAAGTTATATGTTTTCCTTTGAATATAGGAACTCCAAGATAGTTAAATAATGCATGACCCACGATAAATTCAAACATACGTGCAATGTTAATCAACATATATCCATAAGTACCTCCACCATAAAGTTTAAATTTAGTTGTTTAAGTTTAGTTGGATGTATGTGTTGACTAGAATTATGACCATATTATTGAAGGTTATGGTTAATGACTTGAACATTTTCCAGGTAGATTTGCAAAATATATAAGTTCATCTGTAAAAAAAATTGTGGCTAGAATTGGTTGTCTTACCAATTGACACACATGTGCAAGAAATGACTTTAAGCCTCATATCATTCATTCGAGGAAAAATGGTTGACTATTCTTTGATTAAGGGCACCTCTAATATGTGGAATACCCGAGAGAAGACATATATATATATATATATATATATATATATATATATATATATATATATATATATATATATATATATATATATATATATATATATATATATATATATATATATATATATATATATATATATATATATATATATATATATATATATATATATTCAACTCTTAACGAGGAGGGATGGAAACTGATTTTGCAAGAAATTTCCCAAGAAAGGGAAAATGGTGGCAAATAGAAGGTACACCACCATCAAAGTTGGTGGCTAAACTGTTCACTACCACGGAAAAGGAATTTAACAATGGTTGGGAAAGATATATAACCACACGGGACCATGCGTTTTTATGTAGTGTGTGATTGTATATTCAGTACTTACAATCACGGTCCACTGATCATCGTAGTAAACTGGAAAGCCGCGCCTTATAACAACTGTTATTTATATTAAGCGTTATGATATTTCATATTAATAAATGTCAAATTTTCATACCATAATCAACACTAAACCAATTTTGAATTTATATCAAAACTTGTATTACAAGTACACAATTCCATTAAGTACATCAAAATTTGAACAATTTGAGGTATACATTCTTCCTAACTTCCAAGAGAAAAGATAGAGTATAGAATTAAAGAAACAATGATGAGTTTGATTTTTAAACTTCCAAGAGAAGAAGATGAAGAATCAAAAGGAACAATATAAAATCAAAAGAACCAAAACACAAAAACAACTTCATCCAAAGGAATCATCATGTGTTATCCTGCTCAAGCTACCAATAATATTGAGAATCAAAATGTTGTTGTAGAGGTTGTTGTGGTACAAAATCATCCTCATAATCAAGATGT